GCTGCGAACGAAAAAAAACTAAACCACAATTCTCCATTTCAATTTAACGTGTTATTTACTGCCTATTCTTTTTAACGTCAGGGTATACATTGTGAAATACAACTTCAATAATGCTGAGATATTTGCAAAATCTCCGGACCGCAGGTGTATGCGGTGGGGAACGAACACGAGCTGTTGTCCTTACCGGGGAGCAGCGCAGTTCACCACCACACCATCCGGGTCCTTCGTTTTGCCTGTCTCTCAGCTAGTTCTATCGATGCAAAGTTCTATCGATGTTCTATGCAAATATCTCTATTTCAATTAAATTTTTTCCCAAAGAAAACCTGGGTGATTTTCATTACTACAGAATATATTATATACTACAATAGAATAACGAGAAAAGAATAAATAGAATAATATAAAATATACTACAATAGAATAAGGAGAAAAGTAACTAACTAACTTACTTCGATCCTTTGATGGTCCTTCATACGGTGAAGGAGCCAGCAAAATTCCCATTCGTTTCTCTGTTTCTCCCGCAGTCGTCATCCACGGTGGTGGTCTGCCACGAACATGTTAACGTCCGCGAGGCCCATCCCGTATTCCTAAAATCCTCTTAACTTGCGAATGCAGGTAGTTGACGTCATCTAAGAACACGTTCGTCCATTGTTTGGGTGGTCTTTCAAAAGAATGCTTGATCTTCTTGGAGTTCACTGCACTGTTTTTCCGTCCACCTTTCATCTGTTCTTTTTATTATGTGGCCGGAGGATCTGTGTTTCGCTATCGATGTATATTCTTCTGGATCTCGAAGATGGGACAGGTTTCCAAAATCTGATCTGCACATTCTGGCTAGACATTGTGTGGGATAAACTTCAGAAGAAATCGCTCAAGCACTCTGCTGGTGGCGCACAGATTTCTCGGTGTGGTTGAAGTTTCAGTGCAGGTTTCCACTGCATAACAGAGCTCTGGGAAGACTGTTCAATCCGAAAGGCGAGCGCGGTTTCTGGTTGGCTAGTGGTATGATTGAGAGGCCTGAATGCGGCACATGCTACTGTCCTTCTGCCTACTTCCGCCTGCATATTATTCTTCATGTTTATTGAACGTCCAAGGTACACGTACTAGGTGGTTTCTGTAATCAGAAAACCATCCAATTCGGTTTGTCCACATTCGTGCCGTATGTACTTCACGAAATGGATCTTCGCCCTATTTATACGCTGCTCAGCCTCATTTTTCCCGCTTCGATGAGTTAATTGCGCATCGTTTTCGCTTAACTGGTACTCCTAGAAAAGAAACGATGTCATCCGCGAAACAAACAGTTTTTTGGAAATAATCCATCAATGGTATGTTCTTCTTTCAAGTGACTTCAAAGTCCACGGCACTGATGCAGTAAACAACTTTGGCAAGATTTTGTCGATTTGTCGAATCTCTCTCTCTATGGGTATGGTGAGAGGTGAATGGAAAGCTGTGTATTCTTGGTGGAGTTTTGATAACAGTCAGCCAGTATTCGTATGTAACACAGGGAGGATAGGAGTGCATTTGTTTCGATGCTGTCGAACGCTTTCTCTTGTAGTGGATAAGAGAAGCAGCAGATGGTACACTTGACAGTCGATGATATATGGGTTCTTCTCCAGCTTATGGCTAAATCGAATCTTCGTGCGGAGGCGGTGTTCAAATCCAGTGCAGAATCCAGTTACCGCTGTGGTGTCGAAGAGACACATTTTCTCTTCGTGAGAATATAATCAATCTACGCATGAGTCGTGCCGTCGAGAGAGCCCTATGTCCCTCGGCGATTTTCTTTCTTCCCGAAAAATGAATGCCTATGAAAGAGACGTGCTGCGTACAGGAGTCCTAAAAGACGGTTTTCATCCTCATTTCCTTATTCTGCATTCATTTTCGTTGTTCGCTCCTAACCTGCCTAACCTGACACTGAAGTCTCCATTACGATTTAATAGAAAGACCGCTTGTTGCGGTTTACTTCCTCCAACTGGTTGTAGAACGGACAAGTTGGGTAGTAGCAGATGATAATTACTGATGATACTGATTTTCTTTTTATGCTGATGGTGGAGAAGAAGAATATCTAAGTGTGAAAGAATTTCCTACGAGGTGACTAGATGGGAAGTAGACGGGTGTGCGAAATAGCCAATTTCTCCAACACTTCATTACGGAGTTTTTCCTCAACAAATGACAAGAGTTCCGTTTTCTAAATGAAGTACGACCACTTTCCTGCTTCTTTTCTCTTGTAATGCGATAACACAAAATTTTATCCGACTAGCGGCTCCAAGATGAGCGTAAAGGTCGAAATCTGAAAAGACTCTTTTGGTGTTATATGTGTACAGCAAGAAGCAGTCTCAGTGGCGTGTCGCGGCGTGTTTGCGTCATCCGTCTCCAATGACGTCCTGCGCAAACCGAGGTTTGATTGCCTCTCACCAGTTGTCTAACCGCCCGATGTCGTAGACGAGGCGCCCCGTATGCGGGGAACTGAGGTCGGGAGATTTGCTGGCTTAGCCAATGTGGTTTGCTGGAGTCCCGATGTTAGCCCAACTAAAGCGTTCCTCAAGCCGACACCACCACAAGCAGTCATCGACCTTTGTGGATCACAGGGAGATTTGCCACCTCGAAACTAGTTTGTTACCAGGACGGTGGTCATTCCTGACACTTTTTTACTCTTAAATTGGCTTCCAGATGGGAAGATCGGACACCTCATTCTGGGAGACGTTGTTGGGAATACATCCCCTGCTGCACATCGCAGTCCGACAACCAGAGACATTTCCCAGTCACCATGAGGCGATAATACCTTGACAGGAACGAGAATACTAAGGCAAGAACAATTTATAAAACCAAACAGTTTTAACAATGTCTTATTTTTCTCACAAACATTTCCAGGATGAAATCAAAACTGATCTGCGTTCGATTTCGGAAGAAAGCAATCCATTTAAGAAAGCGTGCCTTTCTAAATCCTCAATCTAACTTTCCGACTATGGACAGAATTCATAACGGTAAATGCTTGCAGTCATGAAGAGAAACAGAGAAAGGAATGTGAAGGAAAAACAGAGCAACACGTGGCAGGCGTTGGTGAAAAAGTCAAGGATCTTTCAATCTATGTGCGTACCATTTGCTGATTTCACAAAGCACTGATTGCATCATTATGTTTTTCCTTTGAATTTGACTACTCCTTTTCAAAATAGATTTATATTTGTTCATTGTCTTTCCTTGTAGCGCATGGATAAAATGGCACTTCAGCAGGAACACGTCGAAATCAGAAACCACGAAAAAGGAATGAAAATAATAAAGTGATTTCCATTAAGCTCGATAAAAATGCATACCATACAAAACAGACAGCCGTTCTGAGGTGAACGGGCCGAATCAGAAAACGAAAGTTGACGATGTACAATGTTGTTCATCCGTCATCCCATCTATAGCCCGCACTCGAATACATATACATACATATATATATACACATTTATCTACATATATATATGCATATATATACATAGCAGTTGTTAGTGGAAAGCTTTCTCCTCAAGTCAGTTCTCGCCACCGAACATTCAGTGGCTTCAAGTAGAATGCTCGGCTTCGTGGGAAGTTGCCATGGTGAACTTATTTGTAGTTATCCCAGAGCAATACCTCAAGCTTGGGTTATGAAACCATTTTCAGCAGTAATAACGGAAGAATAACGATATATGAACATCGATACAATACAGGCAGAAAAGTGGTATCACTTGACACTTCAACGCCCGTTCTCACTGGTTGTGCGGGCCTCAGCATAATCACCATTTATCGGAGATTTGCTCATTGTGGTTCCCTGGAATTCTGCGGTCAGCATGGCCAAAGTCTGCCTCAGGTCGTTAACACCACGGCCAGTCACATCCCTTGTGGATCAGAGGGAGATTTGTCACCATGCGATTTTGATAGCAGGACTGTGGCGGATCCAGGTAATGGTTTACTCTTAGCTAGGCTTCCTGTTGGAAACGCCGGACTCCTCCTCAACTTGAGATACCCTGCCGAGGGACGAATCACCCCGCTGTACATCGCAGTCCGACGCCCAGGAACACCTCCCAGCCACGATGAGGCAGTAAACCGGCTTTTCGAAACGACTTCATGCCCTTCTTACTATTGTACGCGTGAAATCTTCGAACAGAAGTAGCACATAAACAGTTCTGATTGTAAGAGGTTTAAATAAGAATAGCTGTTTGTGGCAAGGAAAGTTTCTCCGAATGAAATGATAGCGTTTATATATTGCAAGATTGCAAAGCGATGTGAGGAGCAGCGAATGTGGTCACTGTAGGAACATGCGCTAAACTGAGAGAATAGCAACCATTCTTGCAATAGCTGCTGTGATATACACATATATATAATCAATATTTGTTTATACTGTTGACCTTACACGAGGTTGATATGAGATGTTTATTCGTTCCGACGTCTTCGTCTTCATCAGAGCCAACGATCCTTGTCGATAGTCCACAGTTGTTCCCCTTCTCGATGTGGCGTCTTCGTCCCGTATCGAACCGGATCTTCCTCAATTGAACATCTCGAAAAGGCCGTTCTCACCAGGCGACGCTCTTTTATACAAGGCGGTTGTTGTTGATATGACTATCAGCTGATGATAATTTGTTTTTCAACTGGCAATATATAATAATTGGTAATATAAATTTGGCATTTGATGTTAGTAGAATATATATATGTGCGTATATATATATATATATATATATATTTGGCGTTTGAGTGGTGAGAGAAGAGGTATGAATCACTGTGGTTTCACTACCTCCCTCCGGTACCATTTCGTAATCTAGCTGGCTTTGGACAGGTTAGTTTGGACGTTTAGAAATAAAAGCCTGTTTTCTTTCGGTTTCCCGGGTAAATTTCATGCAGTCTGATTGTTCGTTCAATATTTTAAACTGCTGATCGATCTCCTCTTGTGTGGAGCAAGTCACAAAACGATTATCTTTACGTCTACAGTAGAATAATGGCCAGAAATTGATTGCTGGTGGTTCGATCTTAGACACATAGCCAATGGCAAGGATTTATGCCAGTCGCTTTCCCATTGCCAACTCTCTAATTTGAATCATGAGTTGCTGAATCGAGAAGCCATGTACGCTAATTGCTTGTTGCACAGGAAGTTCGCGGAAGGCTTGCATTGGGGAGTAATTCGTCACGTTAGTGTAGAGCGCGGTACCGTCGAAGTATTCCGCAACGTACGCGCTGTTTGAACGTGTGTTACGTAGACGATCCAGGAACATTTGGGTACTGGTGAGATTGGCTATTATGTACTCAAGCAACTGAATAACAATTAGATTTATAAACCAAGCTATTCTATCAGCAAACCCGTATACACAACTGATGATGGCCCTAACCCTTAAGGTGGAGGGGTAATTAGACGCCAGATCATCAGAAGATACTAACTTATGAGTTTTGATAAGCAAGTATGAGACTGGTCATCTTGGCACTTCGATCTTAAAATACGAAATGTCTGATAGTTTTAAACCTTCTGCGCTTGCTACTTTGACCTATTCGTTGTTTAATTTTCGATGTTGACCTTTGAATCTACGGAGGTCCTTCATATGAGTGATCTCAAGCCGGTTAGTCGCGAGGCTACGTGGCGCATTGCCAGGTGTCGGATGAGTGTTAATCGTGGGCGAAAAGCGACCATGGCTTCCCTGAGACGCAGGTGGATTACAAAGGTTGGAGTCTCTATTTCTGCTGCGCCGATTTGACACCTACTTTCTGTATTTACGAAGCGTATTCACGCACGCATGTATGGGTGCGTTCAAGTTTATGCGAATTGCATTCTAAGAGACAATTCTGCCAAAAACCTGCAATAAAGTGATAGAAAAATATATGGGAAGCAGTTAAGAGTCGCCTCCAATAAATAAGCTCCACATCCACTCTGAGAGAGACTGGCAAGCCATCCGAGTATACCCAGCTCCACGTTCAAAGCCCCGCAAACTATACGTGGGTATCAAAATGCTAAACACAGCAAAAGAAATGGGCTTCATTCTCCTGACCCCGAAAAAACCCCCAATTCGGTAGCGTTGAGTAGGACGAGTACGGAGAGGATGCTCAGGGCCAGGGCCAATGGAAGCTGCCTGGATCACGAAGAACTAAGGTGATGATCTGTACCTACAATGCACGTACCCTTGCATTGGAGTCCTCGATAGAAGACTTGATCATGCAAGCGAGAGTGATAAGGTACGACGTCATCGCCTTGACCAAGACGAGACGATGCCACCGATTCAACGCCGTCTATGAGGCCGGAGAAGAACCATTCCTCGCAACATGCGCCAGTGGAAGGGTCGGTGGCGTCGGCGTTCTCGTGAACACGAGTTTGCCCCATGAACAACGATTCATACGAACAACTTACAACCCGAATTGGACGTTTACGATTGAAGAGCTGTGAATCTTTGACTCTGAATCCGGCTTTGACAATCTTGGTCGTTTACGCACCGACATCAAGCTGTGACGAAGAAAAAGTCGAAGAGTTATATATGGGCTTGGAGAAGTTCTACAGAGTTCTACATGACGACCAGACCACGACCATTTACGGTAATTCGTAATTCCAAACACCTCCCCCCCCCCCTCAACGCAGGACGTGGGAGTCTATCAGTGGAGTACCATAACGAAATAGACCACACCATAGTAAACCGAAGGTTTTGCGTAACTGATGTTGCTGTTGTCCCAGAATTCTTCGCGTGACCAGACCACCGCCTCCTTGGTGCAAGATTCCATTTCTCGCAGAAAGGAGAAAAAGCTGGTGAGTTCAAAAAACGAGGCCCCAGAGGCACTATAAATTGGGACTTATAGTTGGCTGCTGGAAAGATGCCGTTGTCGGTAACATCGGTGAAGAATGCGATCGGCTCATTCAACATGTTGTACCACCGATTCTCCTTTCCGAAATCGACATGCCATTTCGTTGGTGAAAAATCTAACGGCACCAGGTTCGGATAGGATAAGACCAGAACACCTGAAAAAAACCTTCCCTAGTCCTCGTAAACACACTGGCTCTGCTCTTCACGCGTTACCTGTCTGAATGCAAGGTCCCTACTCAGTGGAACACCAGCAACACCGTGTTATTGTTGAAGAAGGGTGGCCTGCACGATATTGGCAACTATTGCCCAATCTGCTTGCTGTCTCGTCTACAAACTTTTCACTCGAGTCATCCTAAACAGGATTGGCAGAACACTAGACGAAAGACAGCCATGTGATCAAGCAGAGTTTCGAAAAGGATTTCGTACGATGGACCACATCCACACGATAACAAGACTCACTGAAGAAGTATCGCAAGAGTACGCTTTGTCTCACTTTCATCGATTTAAAGAAGGCCTTTGACCCAATTGAGATAGTCGCAGTCATGGAAGCCTTTGATAGTCAAGAAACCACTACTCAGTATATGAAGATTCTTCGTGAGCTGTACAAAAATTTCAACACTAAGATATCACCATGCTGCAACGATATTAACATTGACGTCAAAAGAGGAGTTAGGCAAGGCGATACCATCTCGCCAAAATTATTTACCGCCACCCTCCAGAGTGTTGGAAAAAAATGAGAACATTGGAATGGGTTAATTTGGGAGTTAAAATCGATGATAGGTAGTTACACGATCTTCGCTTTGCTGATGACATCATCTTTATAACACCAAACACTATCCAAGCGGAACGAATGCTGGCCGACTTTGATAAATCCTTTGCAAAGATTGGTCTTCGAATAAATCTCACAAAAACGATGTTCATGAAGAACGAATTGGTTTCGTATGTCCCACTCACGCTCAACGGAACGAATATCTCCGAATGCTCCAGTTATATCTATCTAGGTCGGGAAATCAATATAATGAACGACTTAGCTCCAGAGTTGAGTAAAAGGAAACGAGCGGCTTGGGGAGATTCCAATAGCATTGAGGATGCCGTGAAGAGAACAAAGAACGCCCGCTCTATGCCTACCTTTTTGACTCAACGGTACTTCCTGCCTTAACATATGCGTCAGAAACCTGATCGTTGCGTAATCAGAATGGAAGATCACTCAGCGTTATTGAACGCGCAGTCTAAAGGACCATACTAGAAGTACCCCGTTTCACACAAATAAGGGATGGGATCCGAAGCTCCTATCTGTGCCAACGATCAAAAATTAAAGATGCCGTTCTGTGCGCCAAACGGTCGAAGATAAGGTGGGCCGGACACGTAATGCGTATGAACGATAACTGATGGACAAGAGCCGTTAGTGACTGGATTCATCTGGATATTAAACGCACTGCAGGAAGACCACCGTTGGTCAGAGTTCTTCATGAAAAGCCTAGAAGAAAGACATGATGCTCGACGAGTCCCTAGAGGAAGCAGAACCCACTGGGCTACTCTTGCACGCGACAGGTAAAATTGGTAGGTTTACTGGCGCCCGCTCGAGTCACTCGACGATCAACAGGACTACAGGTGACACGTGATACACGTGACCTTTAAATTTCTCTTCATTTGATTCGCGATAAAGCGAAGCGTCTTCAAGATTTTTTTCGTTATCTCAACATCTAACAGGCGAGGAATTACTACGAACCCTCCGCCCTTATCGCTAACTGATGGTCCAATAGCTTATGATTTTATTAGTTTCCGAACCTATTGTATAGCAGATTTTCGCTCTACTCTGAGGTTGGAAATGAATTTTCTTACATCGTAGCGGTTAAGGACTCTGATAATTTCGTTCGATAATGTCCGAAAACTGTTATCGAACTCGTGGTAGGGAAAGGTTCCTGCTGCCTAAAGAACGGTCGAGAAAAAGAAGATGGTTTTAATGCTCCTACTACCCGTTGTTTCTTTCTATTTCATTCCTGGCTTCTGGCTTCAATGCGGAGTCGATCTCTCAGTTTAGCTTATGTTCCTATACGCGCTGTTCGCTGTTCCTCACATCGCTTTGCAGTCTTGCAATACATAAACGCTTTTATTTCACTCGGAGAAACTTTCATGGGCACAAGCAGCCATTGTTGTGCAATCCTCTGTACAATCGGAACTGTTTGTGTGCTACTTCTGTTCAAAGCTTTCACGCGTACAAGATTGATTTATTTTACACCGATTATGATGAGGTCATAAAATTCCAGCTTGGAGACTTACTTGGATAAACGGATGGCCCGTTTTCAGCGGTTGTGTGGGCCCAGCACAATTTGAACTCTTTCGGAGTTTTGCTGGTTTAGCCACTGTAGTCCTCTGGAGTTCCGAGGTCAGTCAGGACAAGGTTTGCCTCAGGACGTCGCCATCACAGGCAATCGCCGCCTTTGTGGTTCAGAAGATTTGCCACTATGTAACTAGTTTGATATAAAGACGGTGGTGGATCCTTGTATTAGTTTACTCTTCGTTGAGCTTTCTGATGAAAAAGCCGGAGTTCTTCTCAGCTTGGGAGACCCTAACTAGGAGGGATGAATCTCCTTCTGTACATCGCAGCCCGACACCCAGGAACACCTCCCAGCCACGATGAGGCGGTGGCGTTGGGAGGAGGGACTAAAATATAAGATAAAATTTTGTTGTAAGGTTTTATATTAACCATTTCGCTGACTAACGGTATGGATGGTTGCGAGTTGTCTAATGCGAAGCCAAATAGTATAAATTAACACGTATTTCCATTTTTGCAGCCACCAGAGTCAAAAGTGCTTCTCTTTGTATGCTTATACACTGGTGTATTTACCTTTCAAAGGCAATATTCTCCAACAAAGCTGTTTAATTTTCTAAATCTTTTAGTTTATCTGTTTGATCTGGGTAATAGGGCGCATGTGGCATCTGATGCGCCCTGCAGCACACACGCGGAATCTCGCCCATGGCTCACCAAGCCTTCCATCCCTCCGGGACCGGCAAATTGGTACCAGACTTGTCCGGAATGATAGTAGCGCTGGCAACACATCAGTAGACCACTCCGAGTCATTGTAAAGGCCAGATATGCATTCAATCACCTCCAAACGATGCTTAATGAACTCGAATGCATGCACATCCCTCAAAGATTGATCAGCGCCGAGAGCTTTATCCTTTATCGTTCTAATAGACATAAGTGATGAATAAGGCTGAGGTTGAAGGAAAGTCAGTTTATGAAGTGTAAAATAAACTAGTACTTACTAGTACGTAAAGTGATAATAAAGGCAACGTATTGAGAGCGACGACAAAATTTATTATTCCATGAGTTCCTGTTGATACAGACGTCTTTGAACGGATGAAAAGTTGAAGGCCGATGGAACTTGCTGGTGTGAGTCACGTTTCTTACTCATGCTTCTTCGCGTGGGCTGTCCTGCTCTCTTTATCAGTGCTAGCTATATTTGAAAAGTGGGAGGCTAGTCTCACTGCTACTACCACTACGATTTTTATCATTTAATGCTTACTCGTGTAATTGTCTCGCTTATTCTTCCTCGTCTAGCCAGCACATTTTATGCATACACTCCGGAGACTTTTCCGGATTCTATTGAACAACCCAGAGCGTGCAGTATGCATCAGATTAGCTTTCTATGTGATCCGAGTAACGTGCTCAGTAAAGGAAACCTCACTGCCAACCGTAAGTCGGTCAACAGTTATTCTTTTTATTCCTGTTTATTGTTTAAATAAGAAATCTCAGCGACACAAAGTGGGTGGTACACCGTTACTACACCGTTAACCTGCTAGGCTTCTTTTGTATTCAAAACTTATTTGCCAGTAGATAAAAAGATGCCACATCTATTTGTCGAATCACAGTAAAGAGCGCAGAAATTGAAGTCGTCTTTAGAGAGAATAAAGGACTTGATAAGCAATGCAATCTTGTGGTTACAAAGTTAACCGCTTCAAATGCTGTATGATATCCCTTTGCTTTACACAATAGACTAAAGGCCGTCTGCACTTTATTAATACAATTTGCACTTCTGACTTATACGTTCCAGAGTTTAGAAATGTCGTTTAGCAGAAAATACTTTTAGTAAACGAAAATTTTTATTCATTCCCAACATCGTCCTTGTTTCGACCTCACGCCGAGTTCACCAAGCCTACGATCACTTCGTGGTCGTCTGGAAATTGATATCAAAGTGGCTTTTCACTAGCTGAAAGCCTCCAGTCTACAAAGCACGGTGCCTGTGTGAGGATCTTGTAGCGCACTGGCATGGCTATCCCAGGAGACTCGAGGAGGAGTAGACTCGGCTACTACTTAACGATATATTTGAAGGCGGTGAGAAATTCTAACGCAACACCCGTTCCCTCGAACAATGTCATGAGCAACGGATAAGAAGAAACGAATCGCATGCTTAAAATGCTGGGATTCGCCTAACATGTGATGACAGATCGCGGAAAGTAAAAGTAAAGTACTGTGAAGGCGCGGATACCACAGTGGTTTTGTTTTATTGCACTATCGTTTTTCTAGTGTTCGAACGCTCTAAATATCTAGAAGCTATGGTCGCCATGCCGAAAAATGTATTTTTTGGTTATCCATGTGCATTCTTTTTATACCGCTTACTTCTCATCGACTGTGTCTCATTTCAGCTCTATTCCTTTTATGAAATGCTGAGATATTTGCAAAACTCCGGACCACAGGTGTGTGCAATTGAGAACGAACACGCGCTGTTGTCCTTACCGGGGAGCAGCGCACTTCACCACTACACCATCCGGGTCCTTCGCTTTGCGTGTATCTATTCCTTTTCTTGCTTCAATCACTTCTTTTAATATTGGTTTTGCTGACGTTCTTCGAAGGAACCGACAGCGAAGGGGAGAAGTGTTAGTTAAAGATTTTTTCACACAATGAGGATGCGCTGAGATTCGAGCAAATTTTTTTGACGGGTGATTGCTAACAGCACTGATATTGTAAAAAACGACCCAAGAGAAATGCAAAGCAAGGGCCTTGATTGGTGCGTTGGTTAACGAATGAGCCCCTGTAAGCGTAACCATGCGTTCGAACCCAATCCGAGGCTCTGAGTTTTGACCATATCTTAACACTTGTGGTTGTAGTTAATATAACACCCTGCCATGAAAGAAGAATAGGGAACAAATAAAAGTGGAGACATTATAGCATCTGCTCATAGTTCCCTTCCTCAGCTTTTCCAAGCGAGTCCGTCTGCTTCGACGATATGATATCGTCCAAACGCACTTGTTATCCAATCTGTATTTGACTGGTATATGTATTTTTTCGTCTTTGAATACACGTAGTTGCTGTAACCGCATTAACTTTATTCTAGTTTTTTCCATGCAAAACAATGTTCTCTCATTTGTTCTCGAGTAAGGCAGAGCATAGTGATCTGGCTGCATATTTCTATAGAATTCTTTGTTTTGGGAATCATATCTATCCAATAATTACGCGACTTTGTGGTAAAGTTTAGACGGGAAGTGTGTGAATTGAACGCAGAACAAAAGTTACCATGTGAGAGTCGTGGAATGCATGGAGATGTTTGACTCCTCGGCTTTTTTCGGTCTAGTTGTTATGATCGTGTGTGTTTGCGTAAGTGGACAGTGACGTAAGCGTATTTGTTTACCAATGAGCTGTGCACATCGCACATATCGATGACAAACTTCCACTGAGTCATAGAGAAGGAGTAGTGAAGAGTGACTAAGGTAGTCGTATCGAACTCAGTCTGACATGGAAGCAACGCAAGATTTCTTGTCGCAGTTTATGCCACGGTCTACTATTAAAGAGAATATCAAGCGCAAGACATAGTGGTGACGATTGGCGACCATTACCATCCGAGAATCTCCGATTTACTGGCTGTGGGCCCGTTCCCCACCACAGACACCTGCGGTTTCGACCTATGCAAATATTTCAGCAACGTTGTGGTTGTATTTCGCTTAATACCGTGCCGTAAGAACTGTGTAGTAGGCAGAAAATAAAAAGTAAAAACCTATGGGTGTAGTTCCTTTATCGATTACTTAATGGTTAGCTCCTCCCAGGATAGGTTTGTATGGTTTGCTTTTGAATCACATGCGTTGACGCTTGTGCAATGAATCTTGTGTTGAATGATGCATTGAACATCAATTTGCCCCGATCTTTGACGATCGCAGTTTTACGGTGTTTAAGAAAGCTGTATAGTCTTTCGAAAGGTTGAGAAGGGAAATGCACATCGCACAGACTACGTTCAGCAGCCCCATCTCGGATGAGTTATTGGTTTCTTGGGACACTAATGCAGGATTTGTAATTTTATTTTTCTTTTGTACATTTCAACAACAATTTTTTTCGAGTGCTGCATATCATAGCCCAGTGCAAGCATATTATTCGCGCTCAGTCGATACAGTTGAAGAGTACCATAAATTTTATCAATGCCGTTTTCAACGATTAAGCTAAAACGAGACTGTTACAAAAGTTTTATTTATTCGGCTAATATTCGACGTCTTCGTCCAATAACAAGGCACTGCCGGAAGAGATTTTTCATTCAAGCGGTGCTCGCTTTCAATGGGTGAGCCACCTCGCGAGGACGACCACCTGTGAAGCATCGACTCGGATCAGTTCTACTCTGAAAAAGACGAAGATGTCGAGACGTTACTCTAATAAGCAAGGCTATTACAGCAACCTCGTGTTAACTTGATCACTGAAGAAGATATTGAATGATCGTGCCGAGGCTAATGGAGTGTCGGTTTGTAAAATAAATTATATTTTGGACCAATGATATATGTCACAAATTAGTATTTCAACACAGCAATTTCAACAAATCAACATTTAGGAATAAAAGCTCAGCCGTAGTCAGCGCAGCATGCTTGTGACAAATTTTCGAACACTAAATTGAACTGTGGTCAATTCATTACTTGCTCCAGTCTCAATATGAATTCCGAAAAAATAAAGGATTTCAATCTTGACTCTTTTATTTACTGCCTTTTTCTTTTTAATGGCAGGTTATGTTTCGAATTATAACTCGTATGAAATGCTGAGATATTTGCAAAACTCCGGACCACAGGTGTATGCAGTGGAGAACGAACACGCGCTGTTGTCCTTACCGGGGAGCAGCGCACTTCACCACTACACCATCCGGGTCCTTCGCTTTGCATGTATCTCAGCTAGTTCTATCTAGTTCTAAAGGATTTCACATAGGCCATCGCCAAACGCGTCCTAAATAGCTTTTTCCAGATATTCTTCTTTCCAATTCGTTAATCGAAGTACGTGAGAGCACTAAGTGCACATGCTCACCAATGGACGTTGGCCAGTGCGACGACTCCCCACACGGATTCACAATTTCCGTTGCTGTTGTCCGAAAGATGGTGGTATACGTTATGCACAGGTATCGAGGAAAACGCTTAGTAACATGAAGATCTGTTTTTTCTCCAACGCTTAATCGGCCACTATTAAAGTGCTCTTCAGAGCAGTTTTGCATTCATGGCAGCTTAACATTAGAAATTAGAAGTGCTAATATTGACCTAAATAATGGATTAAAACCAAAAGACTTATTTGTGTCAAGCTCCACTAGCTGTGTTATCAGCTGGATCAAACATCCTTCCTTTTATCATGAGATGACTCGAGCAGGCGTTAGTAAATTTCCCATTTGTCCCTGTCACGGAACGAACTGTTTGGCTACGTTGGTTTCCTCACGCTATGAGTGCCGTTTAAAAAGAATCACTGGGCAAGTTCAGTCGGTTCCGGTTGTGCTATAGACTCACTGAGCACCGTATCTTAGGGTTTTCGTAAACAACTTTGGTAATGGGATCAATGGTTTCCTTGCTGTGCGTTTGGTATTCCGACGAAACCACTCTCTAACGGCTTTCACTCACACGTACCACGTGTCCAACTCTTCCGATTTTTGACATTTTTGCGTTCACAGCGGAGTCTCTGATCATTGGTAGCCGATGTAGGGTGTAATATCAGATACCCTACTCCACTCGCGTGAATCAGGCCACTTCCAGCATCTTGCGGAAGAAATGGAGTAGTATCAAGGAGGGGAAATATTCGGAATACGGATTATGGTCTTTCTCGGACTGCGCTGTGACAACGTCTCTGGTTGGAAAGTTAACGACTCCGACGGTAGCCACAGGAAAAAAATTATTTGACAAAATACGCCACCAAAATTTTAATGCATGAAAAGGAGAATACGGAACAGTCTTTGTTGCCCTTTTGGGTTAGCCGATAGTTGATAATGACTGCATGTGGTATAGGTGATTTTCAACTGAATATTTCACCTTGGTTCCAATTTTTATGCACGAAAGCACTGATAGAATATTTAAATCATTTCCACGACTATGTAAGAGTTTCTACGGCCTTTGTTTAAAATATCACTACTTGTCAGCTTCAGCTAATCTTTTCATAATTTTAGTATTTGAGCTGTTTGCTTTAAAGATTACCATCAGGTTTTGAAGGACTTTTAGGAGTTTTTCATTTCAGCAACGTAGACACTATCCGAATGGCTGCTGAGGAATTCGCAGACGCACTGCGAGAGCGTCAGAATCGCGGGCAATGTGATGATGACGTGCTGATATTCGTCTCAGTTGATGACCACGTGGTGAAATAATTCTCTACTTTGATAATTCTATTTCTTTTAGTGCTTTCAAACGTATGAGAAACTCTGTTTTTGCTGCTTTTTCTACTACTCACGAAGTATCTTCAATATGCTGAGTAGGTACTCCGTGACTGTCCAGTGCTTCCATGGTTGCTTATATCTCAATCGAGTCAAAATTTTTTAAAAAATCGATGGAAGTGAGATAGAGCGTCTTTTATACTCTCGTGACACTTCGACGAGTCTTGTTGCCGTGTCGATGCAGTCCATCATACTGAATCCTTTTCGGAACCTAGCTTGCTCACATGGCTGTCTTTCGTCCAGTGTTCTGCCAATCCAATTTGGGATAACTCGAGTGAAGAGTTTGTAGACGACGGTCAGCAACCAGACTAGGCGGCAGTTGCAGATATCGCGGAGGTCACCTCTTGAAGAATAGCACGGTCTTGCTGGACTTCCACTGAGTGCGAACCTTGTATTTAGACAGATGACGTGTGCATAGCCAAGCCAGTGTATTTATGGGGACTGGCGCAATGTTTTTCAGGTGTTCAGATATTATCGTGTCAGGATCTGATGTTATTCAATTGTTCACTGACGAAATGGAATGTCGGGTATCGGAAGGCGAACCCAGACCTCGGTATATCCATCCTCCTTTATTTCATATAAGAGTAGGAGTACGTGGCTACTGAAGAGATCTAGGTAGTAATCGTTAATGGTTTTCTCCATTGTCTTTCCGAATGCTATAACCACACTCTCTGCGCTTCTGAGTGCAATTATCTTGTTCTTGTAGTTGGTGAAGTTTCTGTGAGCTTTACGAATTATATTTTTAATTATTAGTACTTAACCTCATATCCTGTAGAGAAAAACTGTAGCAGGCAGCAAATAAAAGGTTAACATTGTGATTCCGACTACAGAATCAGCACAACTGTGTTCATTGCCATTCCTAGACCAACCCCGCTGACGGGTGATTGCTGATGGCACCGTTAGGTAGAGAACTAGCCAAGAGAAAGGCAAAGCAAAGACCTCAGTGGTGCAGTGCGTAACACGCGAGCCCGCAGATAGGGTAATCGTGATTCGGTCTGGGCTGTGACCTGAGTTTTGAGCATATCTCAGCATCATTGTGGTTGTATTCCATATCATACCCTGCTGTGAATAATTACAGTATATAATAAATAGAAAATTAACATTGTTATTAATATTGCTACCAGATTTTCATTGCTGTTAAACTACGCAGGTTTGGACGTCTCTTGGTTCTGTCACGAAAAGATACCTCACGGACTCAGCGGTGAATGCGGTCACAACTAGAGCTGGTTGGTCGGTTGATTTGTAGCAAAGAACAAATTAAACGTGCTATGAAGATGTGCCAATTATTGACAACTGTAGGAGTAAAAGGAAACTTAATACTTGCTATTATGGAAGACTATTTTCACACTGCTGAGAATTCCACAAAACATTTGATGAAATCTGTTTCAGAATTGCATATCCAGTCTGGCGACTACATGGAAGGTATTCTTTACATGGTGGAGTCATACACGACCCTTCTAAAGGGCGAATCGCTTGATTTGAGCACTGGTATGTCGGCGCCTTCTTTTAACTGCAAAATCGGTCTATGAACAGCAACTGAACCTGCTCCATAATTCGAGAATATTCACTGCTCACTTTATTTGTTTTAATCGAAAGCCGTTTCACGTAGAAAAGGACCATTTTCAATACACCCTTTAAGCACTGCTGAAGTCATTATTATCATGCAATTTTTGGACTCATTTTAGGTTTTAAATGGCGCGTTCCACTGTGGTTAGCCATCACTACTGGATCCGGACTAGTCATTTTCCTGCTTGCCATGACTGTTTTTTTGATTTACCGCTGTGTGGTGTACTGTAGAGGAGGTCGTCGAGCAGAATATACGATGGGCACTCGTGTGTAGAAGCGCCATAATTTCGCTAATGAGTGTGATATTGAACAGTGATATGTAATTTGATATCTGCTGTGATCTCTCCATTTAATGACAATCATTAATGTAAGGAGTTTCTCAATGAACTATTGGAAGACTCACCTCACAATGTTAACCTTTCATTTTTTGTCTACTATCATTTTTCACTGCAGAGTATGATGTGAATTACAACCACAACGATGCTGAGATAATCGCAAAACTTGCGCCACAGACCAGATCGAACCTTTTAAGAAAAGGCTAACCATGGTTTGATCTGTACTAGAGTCCAAGTTTTGCGGATATCTCAGCACCATTCTGGTTATTAGAAAACTACTGAGATCTCAGTGTTAACATGCTGTGGGAAATATTCTCCAGGATCATCATGTGAACCTCTTTTCGATATGCTTCTTTTTTTTTGGTGATAGTATTTTCCAATATACTCACTGTTTTCTTGATAAACACAAACAAGGTTTGTTACTTTATTCTTTACTCACAAAAAAGCTGATATTTCGGTTGATTTTGCCTTTCAAATTGGTTGCAACATAGTGAGATCTAGCGCCAACAGAAAGATCAGGGAATCTGATTTCATTGCGATTTCAGTGACGAAACGTCAGCTTTCTTATGAATGAAGATTTGAGTAACAACCTCATGTATGATTGTCGAGAGAACGGCGAACCATTAATGCCGTGGTCTATAGAGAGTCGGTCTTGGAAAATACTAAGCTTTGTTTATATTTTCGCAAAGAATTAGGAAACGTACTTCATTGATGGTGTCCGATCGGGAACCACAGGATCCAGTAAATGGATCTGACCTGGAGTTCAAGCTCTCCAAATACCTCAGTATTATTGCGGTTGTATTTCACATAATACTCTACCGTGAAGAAATAATAGGATGCAAATAAGAAGTGATACACTAGTAAACAGATTTATTTTTTACTTGTGGTTTTAAAGGATGTTCGACGTCTTTTTCAAATAATGATGAACGAGTTTAAAATTCACTGAGTTAAGACCAATAGCTTAATTACTTGGACGGCTCGTCCTCACTGGTTGTGCAGTTTAATCTCCATTTTTCGCAGTTTTGCTGATTTAGCTACTGTGTTTCTTTGGAGTCTCGAGTTTAGCCTAGCCGAAGTCTGCCCCAGGTCGTTAATACCACAGGCAGCCACCACCTTTGTGAATCAAAGAGAGATTTGCCGCTATGCGGCTAATTTTATACCAGGAACGTGGTTGATCCTGGTATTGGCTTACTCTTAGCTGGGCTTTTTGATGGAAAAGCGGGACTCGATCTCAGTTTGAGAGACCCTGCCGAAGGTATGAATCACCCCGCTGTAGATCGCAGTCCGACACCCAGGAATACCTCCCATCCACAATGAGACAGTAAACCGTGGGGAGGTTAGACCAATAGCTGTTACGTTAACGATGATTTAGAACTAAGATAAAAACTAGTAAATCATTTTTTACAGAATTCTCTGAAAAGTGCCAGCTCTAATAACTAACTCATCAAAATAAGCGCTCCGGAGCAATTAGACGATCTAATCATGAATAGAATAGAAGAGAACTCATTGTAAAAGGAACGTTCGCTGAGCAAATGACTAAAAATCTTGTTGGTTCTGCGATTTTATCTCTCAACTGAGTATAAAGTGGTGAGCAGCCGCCAGATGGTATCGACGTAAACTTGAGTATAGTTGCTGACAATTTCGAATGATTTCGCAAAAAGGGATACAACTGTGCCGATTGCTAGAAGCAAATTAGCTACCGTAGAAATGTGGACTAACCGATGAACACATAAGTAATTTCATTCATCGGAAAATAAAAGAAGATCATTCGTCTAGCAAGTGTTTGTTCGAAATTTGAAAAAAGGAACATTTGTAGATAAAGAGAGCTTTCTATAGCAAAAAAAGTGTGGTATTTCATGGGAAACAAGATTTAGTGAAGAAAATTTGGCAATGAAGGGGTGTAGATGATGTACGCTTGCCACTCGGATTCTTAGAGTACAATCGTTCCTTTTTCCTGTGAAAATCTGCTACACATTGCTGAAGAACCATGTGGCAAGTCAATCCCAGCTTCAGCTATTTTTCCACGAGCTATTGCAGCAACTCTCTTTCAGTCATTTAAGCTGACATTTAGACATATGGAAAATGCCTTATGGTATGATGCTGTGGTGACGTAGCTGCAAAGAGAAGTGGTGATCCGTAGAGATGCGGCCCAATTCGGCAATGTAGCACTCGTTAGTGCGCGGAGGAAGATGTTTGACACTGGTTGAACGCATAGCCTTTGAAGGCATACGATTGCATCCAATACATTGGTATAAGGCATACAAGGCATTGACGATTGGTCGCTTGTAATGTCGCATTCAAAATTGCAAAAATCAAGAGTGATGGAATAGCGAAATCGACAGCGAAGGTATCTGCTTTTGAGGGATTTATAGCCGAGCCAATGGGATGTCGCGAGCGCGCCTCAAGTGGTTCCATCTCGCTTTTGGCATGCCGCAGAAACACTGCGTCGGATACTGTATCATCAGAGGTCAATGTCACTCAAGCAAAAGCATTTTTTCACTTCCTACCTACTAGTGAGGTGGATTCCGCAAACGATGCAGCAATTTCTACCGTTTTCATCATCACAAAACTACTTTTTATTCTTTCACTTTATAACTACCACTGTTCGTCGGTGCAAGCTCCAAGAGAAGCTCATAAGTAGAAGTTTCCAATTACACAACTCCTTCCCTCGATATTTCACACTTCGACATTGAAAACGTCGATACGAAGTATGGCAAGATGATTTCGCTCTATGACCCTATTAAGTCTTTTTTTTATTTTTTCGCTATTATGACTACAGTTGAAGCATTAATTTAAAAGACGTCATCACTACTTCATCAAAAATTCAACAAGAGACATAAGATATTTGGATGGCTTGTCTTGTCTTCACATGGCACGCTAATCTCAGCAGTTGCATACGATTCTTTGTCTCGAAACCGTATCCATGAAACCTGGTCACAAGCTACCCACTGATCTTTCACCACATACTCATGTCTAGCAACTTGCAAAATATGAAACCCTCCATATATCACTAAACACGGAGTAGAATCCTTTTCGATTGTTGGCCTGTATTTGAATGGGAACAAGTTATTCTGAAGTCAATTACGGATTGTATGCAATGACAAAAGTAAATCCCATTCCTTCAAGGCAGAAGAGAAATTGTAGTTAGTGGAGACTTAGTGATTTTGATTATGATTTTACTATTCTTGCGGAAGATATTCTTTTTTGACAAACCCATAAAATAGTTGAAGTCAGTCGAAGGAGATAATATCAAGGTTGATGGTTGCTTCGCAAGTTTTGTGTTTTAAATCCAACTAAACGTCCATTAAGAAAGTGGTTTAACACCGATGTAGGTTTATAAACTAAAAACCAACCTACTTTTTTATTTATGGGTAGTATTTCATAAATAAGAGCCCATATAATCCAGTGATCGTAGGCGCCCTGCAATACACACGGGATCGAACTCTGCGCCCATGGCTCACCAAACCTTCCATTCCGCCGGGTTGGGCAAATTGGTAGTTGACTTGTCTGGGAAGATAACAGCACTAGATCTATACATCAGTAGGCTGCCGCGAGTTATTGTAATGGTCAGATATACATTCAATCGCCTTCAACGATACTTAATGAAATCAAATGCATGGTGCATCCCTTAGGAATTGACCAAAGCTGAGAGCTTTATCCTTTTATCTTTATCCATTATTTCATAAATAACAATTTGCAGTTAAGAAAGATTTTCTGCAGTAACCAGTGGTTAGCGCTTACCATGTTGTTATTAGATCGATCTGAGCGAACTTTGCGTAAGTAGTAGATTTTATGTCTGTTCACGAGTAACGAAATCACTATTCTCTCTGTTAATGTAGTCAGAAGAGCTGAAGTAACTTTTGCCTTAATATTTTTGAGAATGACAGTTAAATCTAGTTGATACCTTGTTGATATCTTTTAATCGAAAAATTCAGCTACGTGAAGCATAGATAAAGGATAAATGGTGATAAAGGAAAAGGACGAAGCTTCCGGAGTTGGTCAACCTCTGAAGGATGCACGATGCATTTGACTTCATTGATCATCGTTAGAGGTGATTTAATGGTTGCCTGGCCTTTACAATAAGGGCTTTGCTCGCAGTTGGCTAACGAAGCATCGAGTCAGTGCTGCTATCGACAAAGACAATTTTCCGACACCAGAGCGATGGAAGGATTGGTGAACCTTGGGCGAGGGGTCGAACTCATGTGTATTGCAGGGCACCTCTAATCACTGCGCTACATGCAGAAGCACACGTACTTCATGCAAAAGAATACGTATTATTAGTCCTCCCGATAACATACCATAGATTATGAAAAACGACAATGCTTCTCATTATCGATGTTAATGTCAATTAGGAATTGTAAATATTTCACAGAGAGAATGAAGAGGTTAGTAATGCAGCTCATTAGAGAAGCAAGCGTTGGTTCGATCTTCTAGTCAACGCTCTTCTCCAATCCACGTGGCAATGGGCTAACTCGGTTATCTCCATTATTGCCAGGAGGATGGACTCGACAAGCATTCTACAACACTCATAAAGAAGAAGAAATCCTCAAGTAGCTACCGAAATGACACGCAAAATGTTCGAAGGCTTTCGTGGACGATGAATACAAGGAAACGAATGTAATACGAGAAGTTGTGGGTCCCACAAAGTAATTGTGATGAGAGGTCTTGTAACGATGATGTTAACAAGTATTTCATAAAAATCTTGGTGGCATTTTTTTAAAAGCCAATAAGGATAACCACTTTCCAGTAGTTCATACAGCTCATTCATTTTCAAAAGTTACATTAGAAAAAAGCCAAGAACGCGTTGTTGCGCGAGACTTCGATGACACCCACGGCTATCATTGTAAGAAGTAACCCTTCCTCACGCTTTATAAATTTACTCGGTATCACAAGTACACAAGAGACTGCCTTGTCCTGCTTTAACTGACTTAAAGGTGCT